TGTAAGTTACAGAGATCACACTTTCAATGCTTAGATTGGAGAGACAGAACAATGAGAGTTTTTGTGCCTGGAGTTTAGCTTTAACATCTGGTTTATAAATGCCATGCCACCACTCTGTAAATGCGTACATTTTGCGCTTTTGCAGGACAGCCTAATTAGCTTTTATGGCTTGCAATCGGCAATGGTATTACCTGTAGAATGTGGGGGGGGGGGGGATTTTTACTGCAGACATTGTGACTGCAGCATGTAAACACCCCCATTTTGCAGGTCAAGGGGGATAGTAAAGTCGTGGCTCAACTGTGTGTCTTTGCAACCGCAAGTGTAACCAAAGTCTTTTTTTTCCAAAACTTTGTAGGCAGATATTGGTAAAGAAAGAAACATTTTAGGCTTGGTTCACACGAATGCGATCCGATTATGGCACAATTTTCAGTTTGATTAGGTACTGTGACTTTGATGCGACTTGCTTGCATTTTTGCATATTCTATGGGGCAAGTGGCACTATAGGTCGCACCAAAGAAGCACAGGAACCTTTTCCAAAAGTGCGCTGTGTTGAGTCGCATTAATGTGAATGCGCACCATTGATAATAATGTGAGTTCCTTTTCCATGCAATTCTGTGCAACTTAAGTCGCATCACAAATCACACAGTGTGAATGGAGCCTTTAAATGATATTTTAAATGAACCCACGCATGATCCTAGCACTCAAAGAAGGGCTCCTTGTGTGATGGAAGGGCGCGCTGTTCTATGAATGATCTGCTACATTGCAACCGCGAAGAAACGTAAGAAGAAAAGAAAAACTCTCTACAGTCCTCTGCTGGAGAAGCTGCTGTCATGCAGATGTTCAGATTGCAGTCACTCCAGGCTTTCCTGATGACGCATAGGATTTTATGTCCTGTGGAAATGGCATCAAAGCTTTGCTATGGCTGTGACTGGAAGTGATTCAGGTATGTAGATGCCCTGCACATTTCTGGGTGGTTGTTGCATGTGAGAAAGATACAATCACTGCAACTGGCTCGCTTGTGAATCTATTGGTTTGAGTCCTTGTTCATATCTGAGTGCTGTACAAACATGCGCACACTCAGCACATTTATGCAGTGCGCAACAACCTGTGCTGGAGTGCCATTCATACATTAAAGTGTTACTAAACCCAGGACCCTGCATGCACTATATCTGCTCTTCCACAGTACACACAACATGGAAATGCAATTATTTTAGCAAATGTAAACTGCTAAATACCTTTTCTCATCAGCAGTTAGAGCAGCCTTGTGACTTTAGAAGAGCACTGGTTAAAGCTTGCAGGAGGAGCTTTCTTTCTGCTCTAGGAGGATGCAGAACCCCAGACCTCTGTCTGGACAGTGCTGATTGGCCCTGTGCTGATCACATGCAGTCTCCCAAGAAAAAAAAATATCTCTATCAATACACACTAAACTGAGCATGTGCAGAATGGCTACAGGTTCAGTCTGTCTTATCAGGAGATAAGAGGTGGACATTTGAACAAGAGGAGGAGCAGAGAAGACAGGACCAAACAGCCTTTTTACACAATGCAGAGGATTAACCCCTTAGGTTCCACAGTGAGTATAAGAAGCATGCTTTACTGCAGATACAGACTGATTTTACTGTTGAGGGTTTAGTAACACACAGGGGTGGACTGACAACTCATGGGGCCCCCGGGCAATAGGGGATCATGGGGCCCCTATATCCTTGGCCAAACTCAAAAAAACCTATGAAAAAGGTACCAGGGGCATCTCACGGGGCCCCCTACTGACCCTGGGCCCTCGGGCAGTGCCGAGTTTCCAAATGGTCAATCCGCCCCTGGTAACACTTTAAGGCTGGGTTCACATATGTGCGGTGCAGTATATCGCATGTGATTCGCACAGGAACCGCACCTCTTGTGCAAATCACATGCGATTTGTGTGTGGTGCAATTGGAGCCATACATTTTGTATGGCTCTAATCATACCACACCCGCACCAGACAAGTGCAGGACCCTTTTTTTGGTCCACACTAGAATCAGATCGCATGGGTATTCACACCTATGGGGACCGATTCTGCACATCACACCGTGGGGGTGTGTGAAGTTCCTAAGTTTAAGTGAATGACATTTGCTGCTCTTTCAGATGAGCAGCCAGTGGGCAGTACAAAAACAGGTGCCTGAGCTATGATTTTACCACCCCCCTGGCTGCTCACCTGAACTGTCCCAATACAGTTAAACAGGGATGTACAGATGCTGCGGCTGTGACACTTTTCTTGCATTTTTAACTTGGGGTGCAGAATTTGACAGGTGGTACTGCCTGTCAAAGTCAGCCATTGCATTTAATAAGGCCGCGCCGCAAACAAGTGCAATGCATGCATCCTATCCCTCTTGTATTGAACTGTATTGTTGCTGTATTGTCTCCAGTTTATATTGTACAGCGCTGAGCAAACTGTTGGCGCTATATAAATCCTGTATAATAATGATAATAATAATGTAGTGTTGCATCATAGGGATTAAATCAGTCAGTGAGGAGACATAATAACACCCTTCGAAAAGCAATCCAAATGTGGATCACTCTTCAGAGGGCACCTGGCAAGTCTGAATAAGCTCTTCCTTTGCAGCACTGTATAGCATATGTTGATACTGCAGATATAGCATACGCTGATCTCCTGCACGCCAACAATGGCAGCATGGCATTTCTCAGAGTGGGTTTCATGATGGTGACAACTATGGACCAGGTATGTGTTCTGCGTGTTGAAAATTCTCCTTGTAGTCTCTATCAGAAGACCATGTGACAGGGTGACAACACTGGAGCACAAATTGGGAAATGGGGACAGAGCGTTGTCACTGAAATTGCCCAAACGTTGACCTCTGTGGCAGGATCACCAACTATTATTTTACATACATTATATGTAAACCTTCACCTTGTAAAACAACCTATTCAGTTTAAAATAAAAAGGTAAGGTAAACATTTATGTATATGTATAAAAAAAATTTTTTTTTTCTTAACCTTTTTTATAAGTGATCACATGCCCTCTGTTCTCAGCTGCATAGGAGCTGGGGCAGGAGAAACAGCAAGACACTGGTCTTCCGAGTGAATGGCTGTGCAATTGGGAGGGGGGGTGTCAGGACAAGTCCGATCATTGGAGGAGAGTAGTCTGTGGTCTCAGCATCAGGGGCGGACTGACAAACTCATGGGGCCCCCGGGCAATAGGGGATCATGGGGCCCCTGTGTCCTTGCCCAAACTCAAAAAAGCCTATGAAAAAAGTACCAGGGGCATCTCATGGGCCCCCTACTGAGTCCAGGCCCTCGGGCAGTGCCCGAGTTTCCAAATGGACAGTCTGCCCCTGCTCAGCATCACCCCAGCTAGAGAACTGACCACGCTGTGCTCTCGTACCTAGTGTGGTCAGTTTTTAATAGCAAAGCAGAGTGTCAGGCAGGAACCCCAGGGATTTCACACAAAGGAAGCAATACAGAGAGAACAGGATACACTTTCATACAAGTACATGGTAGAGCAGGCACATACCAGGAATATGAAATGTTGGGGCAACAGGTTGACATCTCTGCAGATTGCGGATTGTGCGATTTCACTGCGTTTTTGCTTTTTTTTTTTTTAACCAATAGAAAAGCATTGATTTTGATGCAACTTTTTTTTGTCTTGCTAATAGGAAAGTTTGACCGTTCTGTTCATGTAGTGCACCTTTGATGCTACTTGAGTGCCAGAGTGTGTAAAGTGGCATCAGAATCACACCACAAGAACAGAACCATCAAATATTCCTGTTAGCAAGAAAAAAAAAAGTTGCATCAACATTTCCCCCTATCCAAAGTCACATCGAAGTGGCATCAAAGTCATTTTGGCAAAGAAAAACGCATCTGTAACGCAACACTTGCGTTTTTGATGTGGTTCCATTGAAGTCTATTGCACAAAAAACGCAATTTTCTGCCGGAAAAAAAGTCCCTGACCCTGTGGCGTTCTATAGGAGTTCCCGCTGGCGGAATACCTAGAAAGCGGCGCTGACACCTGAGCCGCCTCACCCCCCGCGGAGTGATCCTCGCCCCCCCCCCCCTTCCCTCTCTCTCTCAATCACAGGATCACAATGAGTAGAGGGCAACAGAATGAGATCCATGAAGCGCCTGTGGGCGGGCACATGACTCCTGAGAGCGACAGGCCGCCCAGCCTATTAGAGAACCGGGAGTAGGCGGCGCTTATCTGCCATTGGCTCGCGTTGCTCAGCCCCAGCTTGTGAACGGGAGAGCCGCCGCTGACATTGAGTAGTGAGGCGGCGTAAGAGGCACATAACACACTGCACACAGGGGGGAGACCTTCCCGGCCACGTAATACTAGAACCGAGGAAGGACGACGATGGCTTGCTGAAAGGGATCGGCCCGCCGCCATCCCTTCTTCTCCTCTCCCTCCTCTACCTCTGTCCGCACAGCCTCCTCCAGCCATCCATCCATCGCTTTCTTTGTATTTCCTGCTGTGATGAGAAGAGGACCCGTGTTATCATCGGAGATCGCCTGCTCTGTCCTCGCCTGAACTCTCATCTCCTCGGACTATGCTCCTCTCTGGGACCCTCTAGGACACCCCCCCCCCCCCCCACCCCCCCTCACAACTTTCCCATTGTTCCCAGGAAAAGTCGGAGGCAGGTCGAAGGAGATCGGCCGCTCTCTAGGAGAATTCAAGAATGATCTATTTTTTGTAAATTCTATTTTTTCCCATACAGGAGATATTTGAATAAAAAAAAAGAGAAAATTTTATTTTTTTCCGGATAACATTTTTGCACACAGGACGATCCCTTTAAGACTCAACCTTGTATTCCGAAACGGAAACGTTCCACAACTTGTAACGACGTTCCGATCGCTGCCTTACCCCCCCCCACACCAACCGGATCGTCTCCACCATCCACTCTTCCGTTCCCGATCGGCTGCCGATTGCACAAACCCCCCCTAAGTCTGCACGTATCCATCTCCTTCCTAAAGCACAAAGTCCCCCCCACCCCCCTTTATCCTGGGATTTGGCTGCTCTCATGAACATACAAAGATCGAACCCCATTACAATCACGAGATATGGGAGATCGCGGAATAAAACCCAAGATTTTGAAGAATTATCGTCCGTGAGGTGTACGGAGCCCAGCCAGAGCTTCAGCCCCAACCTCGGTTCCCCGAGCCCCCCCAGAGACTCCCAACCCGTCGCATTGCGTTTCCTGCATTGGGAAATACTTATTGTTGGAGCCTCTGGAGGGAGACCACGTTTTCCGAGCCGTGCATCTGCACAGTGGAGAGGAACTGCTCTGCAAGGTAGGTATCTGGACCTGGAGAGAGACCACCTACCTCAACCTATTGTCCTGAGATAGCCTGCTAGGATTATGGTGGCCAAACGGGCTTCAATGGTTATCATCCCACTACACTCCACAAACATAACTTCTCTTCTGATCAATCTAGAACCGATTCGATCAAACCAAATTGATTGGCCAGGGTGCAAAATTATTGATTGTTTGCATCAATTGGCAGCGCTGAGATGTAAATTATTTCAGATGGTCAGATTATGGGGTGGACGCTGATGTGAGTTGATAACCTACGATCTTCACTATCCATTGAAAGCCACTTCCCTGTATGTTGCATATTGGTCACATGAGTTGTTGACTTTAGATCCATGTATTCCTATCAGGAGAGTTCGAATGGGTTGCCAACTATAGATCCATGTATTCCTATCGGGAGAGTTTGAATGGGTTGCTGACTATAGATCCATGTATTCCTATCGGGAGAGTTCAAATGGGTTGCCGACTATAGATCCATGTATTCCTATCAGAAGAGTTTGGATGGGTTGTTTACCCGTAGGTCAATGTAATCCTATCAAAAAAGTCCAAATGGATTTTTAGCTATAGATCCATGATCCATATCAGAACCATCCGAATGGGTTGATGGGCATAGACCAAAGTATATAGATCAGAAGAGTTTGAATGGGTTGTTGACTATAGATCAATGTATCCCAATCAGAAAAGTCTGAATCGATTGGCTATGGATCAATGTATCCATATCTGAACACGCCGAATGGGTTGATGGCCGTAGACCAATGTATTCCAATCAGAAGAGTTCGAATGGGTTGCTGACTATAGATCCATGTATTCCTATCAGAAGAGTTTGGATGGGTTGTTTACCCGTAGGTCAATGTAATCCTATCAAAAAAGTCCAAATGGATTGTTGGCAATAGATCCATGTATCCATATCAGAACAGTCCAAATCGGTTGATGGGCATAGACCAAAGTATATAGATCGGAGTTTGAATGGGTTGTTGACTATAGACCAATGTGTCCCTATCAGAAAAGTCTGAATCGATTGGCTATGGATCAATGTATCCATATCACAACAGTCCAAATGGGTTGATGACCATAGACCAATGATTCCGATCAGAAGAGATTGAATGGGTTATTGACTATAGATCAATGTATTCCTATCTGAAGAGTTTGGATAGGTTGTTGACCTTAGATAATGTATCCCTATCAGAAAAGTCTGAATCGATTGTTGGCTATGGATCAATGTATCCATATCAGAACAGTCCGAATGGGTTGATGGCCATACACCAGTATAATCCAATCACAAGAGTTTGAATGGTTTGTTGTCCGTAGATCAGTGTATTCCTACCAGAAGAGTTCAAATGGGTTGATGATTCTAGATCAATGTATTGCTGTCAGAAGAGTTTGGATGGGTGGTTGGCAATAGATCAACTTCTTCCTATCAGAAGCATTCGAATGGGTTGTTGGCTTTAGATCAGCGTCTTCCTATCAGAGTTCGAATGGAACATAAGTTGATCATTCATCAAAGTGTGTATGGCCGTCATTAAAGAGGAACTTCACCCCTACCTAGCTATTTTCAAGTTCCTAGTATGTAAATACAAATTGCACACTTACTAGTCCATGGAGTCCAGCGTTACCTTTCTGGCCCAGTTGTCCTGCACCGCCATCTTGCCCCAATACTTGCACCTGTGCAGAGATGTGGAAGGTGGCGGATATACTTATGCGCAGAATTGCGTCAGCAGACCTGCTCATGCACAGACAGGATTCCCATAGACCTTGTTTGTACGCAATTCCAAACAAGCGCAGACGTGCTGCTAAGTTCTGGCAGGTCCTGTAGACCCCCGAGGTGTGTCTGTGTATGCATGAGGCTGCAATATACACATTGTCCTCACCTAGATGGGGATACAGAAAGTTGACCAAGTAGTAATGTGAAAAAAAAAAAAAAAAAAAAAAAAACTTCTCCCCCCCCCCCCAATTGTATAAGGCCCCATCCGCACTATACCGTGCAATGTTGGGTGTTGCGTACATGCACATTGTTGCACTACATGCATAGGGCAGCTCGTTAATTCCAGAAGACTGCCCTATGAGAGAGAGAGACGCAGCAGAACAGCTTATGCGCTTTAACGGTCAAGCTTCGCTTGTTTTTAAACCACGCGTTTGCCGCATTCAGGGTGCCATTAACAATGAATGACGTGGTGTTTTTTGTGCGTTTCAGGAATGTATGCAAAACTGTGCAACTTTGCGTGCCTACATGAAACGTGTCCGTGTGAATGCAGCCTTAGAGGCAGGGGGGGGAGTCATAGGAGACAGTCATGTTTATGGGTGAAGTTGCACTTTAAGAGGTCATTGACATCTGTATTCATGCATGCCATTCAAGGGATGTAAGCTTTACCCGTGGATGGAGGAGGGGCAGGAGAGCAGTCAATGACCTGAGCACAAAGCTCCATTCCACGTTTCATGGAATGATTTGGGGGAAACCCCTTTTTTTTTTTTTTTTTGCAGGTGTTCACATAACTCCTATTTTTCAGTTAGAAAAAAAAAAGTCTTTGATGTGTTCTCTTCTGCTAGTTGCGTTGAATACAAAGCCCCTTTTAGCTCAGTACCTGGTGGCACCCTCACAGTCCTTGTAGATGAAACAAGCTATTGTACAAAGACCGTCATCAATGGCTTCGCTCTGCTTTTCATGTCCTGGCCTCCATTATTGCTGTGTCGGCAATATTCCGAGCCTTACATGAGCAAACAGCCTTGTTCCCCGCTATTGCCGCTGTCCATATTGAGTTCCCACTCATTGTGTGTTTAGATTTGCACTGCTCCACAATAGGTACCTTGTGGAAATGCAATGTCTAAACCGGTGTCCTCATTCATTCATAAACAATGGAACGTGAATGATGTAATTGCAAACTGTAGACAGCTCCATAATTCCCCACAGAGACTAATACAGCAATCCATTCTGCACGCTCTAAATGGAATATTTTAGGTAATGCAGCTCAATGTATTTAGGGGGGAAGACTAATGGGGATGCTGGTAGGGAGTGAGTCATGTTTTGCAATGTTTATGAATGTCTTTCATTCTTTCCCATTTTCTGAATTCAGAAGTTGAGCTTGAAATATAGACCCTTCAATTGCATAAGCTGTCCTCTGAGGCCATGTGGCTCAGTCTTAAACAAACCGCAGGTTTCTGCTGACATATCCAAATTAAATTGCATGTGACAAAGCTGCACTTTCATGTAAGCTTTGTGCAATAATAGTAGAGGTTACACTTTGTGTGCTCACCTTGGCAGTAAATACCCACGGGCCACAAATATAAAATACTTTACGTACATCTGCAAAATAAATATGTTTACTATTCATTTTTTGGTTTATCTTTTTATGTATTAGATTAAAAAAAATAGACCGATATAGATAGATGTTTATTATTATTATTAATATACAGGATTTTATATAGCACAAACAGTTTGCGCAGCACTTTACAATGTAAGGGAGACAATACAGTTACATTTCAGTACAGAAGGAATGTGAGGGCCCTGCTCCTGGAGCTTACAATCTAAAGAATCTATATATATCTCTATCATATATATATATATTTTTTTTTATTTCTGTAAAGTATTTTATATTTATGGTCTGACAACACTCATATTCACTACAAGGTGAAATCAGAAACGGGACCGGTTCGTGTCCTGTTGGTGACAATGTGGACTACATAAATGGTACATATGTGCAGTTCTAAACGCTCACGGCACTATATATGCATACATCCAGACCTATGTTTATGTAGATGGCATTTAGAAGCACACAAATATGCACTGGTCATGTGGTCCATATTGAAAATAGGACGCAGTTCACATTATAGCCGGCGGCAGTCACTGTGCAGCGAGTACAATGCATGGTAACTAGGCAGATATGTAACCGGCTTATTTTTTGTGAACAGCAATGTTGACGTCCAAAGTACAGTAATAGCAGCTAATTAAAAATTCCAGATTAATGCAGTCTGACTGCAGAAAGAGTTGCAATAGTTTGCGAAGGGTTACTGCACTTTAAATTTGCTCTGATGGTATGTCTATACTTGTAGCACATGTGAGGCTCCCCTATGTGCTGACTTTTCTCAGTCCTTTGTTTCTGATGCCCTTCCTTTTTTTTTTTTTTTTTCTCTTTTTCTTAGGTTTTTGACATACGCTGCTATCAGGAGTCACTAGCTCCCTGTTTTTGTCTACCTATACACAGCAACATTAACCAAATAAGTGAAATCATCCTCGGAGAAGCTAAAGCGTACGTGTTCTTTGAGAAAAGCCATGGAGACATGCATTCTTTTGTTCGTACCTGTAAAAAGCTCAAAGAGGAAGAAGCAGCCAGACTGTTCTATCAGATCGTGTCAGCAGTGGCGCACTGTCATGATGGCGGTGTGGTACTGAGAGACCTGAAACTTAGGAAATTTGTCTTCAATGATGAAGAAAGGTAAGGCTGATACTCCATGTTTAATCAGTTCTTTTCTGCTTTTATATTTGTGGGTTTTTATTTATTTTTTTTTTTTTCAGCATTTTACTATATTTAAAAGTGTAGTTAAGTAAGGCTGGCTGAACATTTATACACTTTTCATGTGCAATTTTTCTTTAGATTTACCAAAACCATATAATATGAGGTCAAACCTACACACTTCCAATTTGTATGCAGTTAGGCAGGCCCTTGCACTACATAGTTGACGATAAATCTAAAGGAAATGAAATAAGATTGTATAGTGTATGTCCAATCAGGTGCTTGCTGCACATGTACACTTACTGTTTAATATATGACTAGAACATAATCTGTCACTCTAAAACAATTGTTCTCAACCTGTTTACCTTGGAGAAACCCTTGCAATGTTCGAGTCTTGGGGAACCCCTGCTAAAATTGATTTATGCCTACAACTACTGGTAACTTGCCATGGTCAATAAGTTGAAGCAGGGCTTAATATTGTAGCATACAGAGCATATTTGACATTCATGGCAGATCAAACATCCTTCTCTATACAACAAGATTTATTTTCTGTAACAACAAAGTAAAAATTGTGGTGTCCTCTAACATTCGTGGTCAGCGTAAAAGAGACCTCTTACATCAATGGTTAGCTGAAATTCCTTTTATCTTGGTAGTCCAATGTAGGTGGGACATCACTGGTCAGTGTTAAAGGGACCGCTTATAACGGTGTTTAATTGAAACTTGCCTCCTTGCATTGATGGCCAATGCAGGTGGAACACCTGTGGTCAGCATAAAACGTGGTTAGTTGAAAATTTTCCATTTTCATTGGCAGTCAATTTAGGTGGAACATCAATGGTCAAAGTAAAAGAGACCCTTTACAATAGTTGTTAGTCAAAACTTGCCCCCTTGCATTAATGGTCAGTGATGGTCATTGTAGATGGGGACACCAGTGGTCAGCATATGAGACCCCTTACATCAGTGGTTAGTTGAAATTTGCCCCTTTGGTTCGGTGCTGGGACATAAATCTGCTCAAGTAACTCCTAGCAACTTCAGGTGGAACCCAAGAGTTCCATGAAGCCCTGGTTGAGCATGCTTGCTCTAAAAGCTTTATTTTGGAAATGGCAAAAGTTGGAATATTGATTCATGGTGCAGTTGATAAGAAAATGGATGTTTTTCAAATTTTGTCCTCGAAAGCACATGGCATATTAAGCTGGCAGGTACAGAATGGTGGTAGGCCTTATTTCAAGCAGTTTGTAAAGTGCAGTAGATTATAGCATCCAGTCAGTCATTGAAGTCCTTCTGTTGTAGTTTAAAGAATAATATAGTTGTGACAAGGCATTCAGGCATATTCACAAGGAGCAAGTTACAGCAAGGTTATGGTGTACAGCAGTGGTTGCCAGATGTGGCCCTTTGCTTGCTGTTATCCTGCCCTTGGGGCACTATTTCATCTGATACCAACAACGGGGCATAATTCTCCCCATTGACGCCAATGAAGGGGCACAAAGCCTCTCAATGACCCTAACAATGGGGCACGATTCCTCCCACTGACACCAACAATGAGGAGCTACTCCTCCCATTGACACCAAAGATGGGGCATCTTTTTATTCCCAATGATATTGGTACCTTTTTTACTCCCAATGTCCACAGTGGCGCCCCCCCCCCCCTTCCCCTGCAAAGTCTGAAGGAGAGTAAATTGTGCCTTTTTTGTTTAGAAAGTTTGGAGACCCCTGGTGTACTGTATATATCTGCAGACCTGCTTTAGATGATGTTGGAGACAATCCAAACCACAAGAGATTAGACCATCCAACAGAGATGGTCATAGTTGGTAGAAATGGGAAGTCCAGGTGGATGTCTGCTACCTTTTTTTTAATGTGTATATTAGTTCTGAGAATCACAGGTGAGCCAATGTGGCTTTGGGATCAAAGCGTTGTATACAACGTTAAACGTTATCTAAGTGGTCAACCATTCAACATTTAAATACTTTAAAATATATATACATTACTGTACTGTTTTCGTCCATTTTTTTTTCTCCTTCTGTGCGTGAGTAATGTACATTGAGAAATTGAGGCATTGGAGGGAGAATGTAAATGCCATCTCAGATGTGTAGAATGTGTGGAATGCAGTGTGCTAAACTCAAACCCAAATACAGGTTCTTGAATGGCTGTGATGAATGTGGTCACGTAGGATACAGGATAAGGCTGCAAGGTAATCTAATTATACACGCATCCTCTGTGACCAGAATGTTACTTTCATGTGAGCGGCTGAGCATACCACATCAAGATGTTTCAGTTTTATAGTGTGCAACAAAACATTTCCTCTCCATTTTTCATGACAGCAACCCCTTAGTAGATTTGTCCCTGTCTACCTTGGGGAATAAAGTAGGGTTTACTATGTCATGACGTCTGCAGAATTTGTCTTGTCACAAGAATAGGTCTGGGCAGGGGCGGATTGACAACTCATGGGGCCCCCAGGCAATAGGGGATCATGGGGCCCCTATGTCCTTGCCCACACTCACAAAAAGCCTATAAAAGGTACCAGGGGCATTTCATGGGGCCCCCTACTGACCCCGGACCCTTGGGCAGTGCCCGAGTTTTCGAATGGTCAGTCCGCCCCTGGGGTCTGGGTCCGTCTGTCCTTCTTGAGTGAGAGTTCAGTCTTCCTCCTGGTGTTTGAGGAGTGGTGGTTCATTTGTTTGCAGATGACTTGGAGGTAATAGGTTGACCAAAAAAATGTGCAATTATTTATTTATTTTTATTCAGAGCCTGTAAAGCAATGTCCCCGTGATCTGCAGATTGTGGGTGTCATGCAGGTCTCCTGCAGATTGTCAGTATATCTGTCTGCTCGTGCCTCATAAGGGCAGGCAGTTGCAGGAAGAATCCATGAACTGCTTAGAGTGCTCAACAGCGCCCTGGTAGCTCCTTGAAAACTACAAGGTGACAGCTGCAAAGTATACTGGTACTTGTAGTTCATTCACAGAATTCTGTGAATGAATGACGTGGCTGTGTGGGCGGATCCCCACATGGCCGCACTCTTTTCAAACAGTGACAGCTGGTACAGGGAGAAGATTCCTGACCTGCTGTCACAGGGAGTGTGGGGCTCAAGGAGCACCTGCAGGAGCGGGTGGAATGTGTACCATGTTCCAAAAGTGAACTTCTCCTATTTGCTCCTGTTTTGGTTTGATCAGTGTTCCATTGAAAGTCTTTTGTTATCTGGTCTTTAGGTGTAAAAGTAGCTTTTGCCATAAATCTTGTGAGTTCCTGTGTACAAGGACAGGTTATGGAGATTAGGGGGGGAGGAGGGAGACGTGTTCTTTGCAATCCATCAGAAATGAAGGGGGTAGGGCTGACACCAGGTGCTGGGGAATTTGGAGCCAAAAGTACACCATATTGTCATGTCAAAGACAAAGGTAGGAGAACACTATATCCCTGGCATATCAATCGGTATTCTTCTGCACTAGTATGTTTAAAGAGGGATGCAGGGAAGGAATATGATCAGGTGCTGTAGATTTTGTGGAAAATATGATGACATTTCATTGATGCACTTGTAATGGGGGCAGCACTTGCATGTATGAGGTTAGGTTTGTTTTTCTGTATCAGAATGCTTTCTTGTAGTCTAGAGATGAGGCTTCAGCAAAGAGCTCTTTACATGGAGTTTATCAGATCTTGGTGTAGTGGGGAATCTTCCTGAAACCTTTTTTACTTGGCAGTGTGTTTTTTTCTGTACAGCTTGGAGGCAAGGGGGGATATGTTTGCCCATGCAGAGAATTACTTGGATTTATAATAGGATTCTGATTCCAGTGCTAGGTCAAGGTGTTGGTGTAATGCTGGAAAGGAGAGACAAGGAACATTTATACAGCCTGCTACCAAATGACTGCTTTATTTGCTGCTATGTTGCAGCTAAAGATTAGCTGAATTCATCATACAGTAACTTTTTTTTTTTTTTTTTTTTTTTTGGCAATCTGACCTAATACAGTTAGGTCCATATATATTTGGACGCAGGCACAATGTTAGATTTTTTTTTTTTTAGGTATTTACCAAAACATATTCAAGCTATAGTTATATAATGGGTATGGGCTGAAAGTGCACACTCTCAGGTTTAATTTGAGGGTATGTACATACAAATTGGAGGAAGGGTTTAAGAATTACAGCTCTTAAGAGTAGCCATCCCCTCTTTTTCACGAGGCCAAAAGTAATTGGACAATTGAATATAATCGTAAATAAAATTTTAATTTTTAATATTTTGTTGAGAATCCTTTACTGGCAATGACTGCCTGAAGTCTGGAACCCATGGACATTACCACAGACTGGGTTTCCTCCTTTCTGATGCTTTGCTAGGCTCTAACTGCAGCTGTCTTCAGTTGTTGTTGTTGTTGTTGTTATTATACAGGATTTATATAGCGCCAACAGTTTGCTCAGCGCTTTACAATATAACAGGAGACAATACAGCAACAATACAGTTCAATACAAGAGGGAAAGGAGGGCCCTGTTCCTTGGAGCTTACAATCTAGGAGGTTCTTTGTTTGTGGGTCTTTCTTCCTTTTAGTTTTTTGCCTTCAGCAAGTGAAATACATGCTTAGTTGGGTTGAGATCAGGTGATTGACTCGGCCATTGCAGAATATTCTGCTTCTTTTTCTTCAAAAGTTCCTGCGTTGCTTTTGCAGTGTGTTTTGGAAACAACAAAAACACACCTTGGCTACGAACGGTCCCACCTAGGCAAGGATGACATCGCTTGGCCATCCAGTAGGAGCTTCTGAGAGCCGAGGATTCCAAATTTCACGAGAATGTCCAATAGCCATGGTCTCCCAGGGGCTGGATGTGGCCCTTTTGCTTGCCTTTATCTGGTTCTTGGGGCACCAGTGATCGTGCACTATTCCTCCCACTAATGCCAATGATAGGGCATTGTTTATTCACACTGACTACAGTCTGGCCCCCTCAAAGACTGAAGGACAATAAACTGGCCCCTTGTTTAGAAAGCGTTCCATAGTTTTGTGGAGCTATAGATGA